GCTGCAGCAGCGCAAGGCCATGCACAGGAAGTCAAGAAACATAACGCGCACCTCAGAGGAGCTAGGGGTCAGCCAGGGTCTAGGGTTTAGGGTTTGGGGTTTAGAGGGTTTGTATGGTTTGGGGTGTGGGGTGTGGGGTTTAGGATGTAGGGTTTTCAGTGCTCAGGGTTTAGCTCTTTAGGGGTTTTAGGGTTTCTAGGGTTTTTGGGGCTTAAGGGTTTAGAGTTTAGGGTTTGGGGTTTTTATTTGCAGGCGAAATGCGCGTTAGAGCGGCAGGCATGAAGGCGCTGGAGTGTTTAGGCAGCTCAGAGACCACGGATGCTGCAGCAGCTGCTGTTCCAGCAGCAGCAGGAACTGCAGCAAATGCACCAACTGCAACGGGAAGCAAGACAGCAGCAGCAGGCAAAGGACCAGCAACAAACAAAGCTGTGGCAGCAAGCAAAGCAGCAGCGTCAGCAGCAGCAGGAGGTGCAGCAACACCTGTTATTGTCTCTCCGGCTTTGTCTTGCGACAGCTGCAATGAGAGCCGCCTTGCGGCTTCCCCGCTGCTGATTCCCACAGATGCTCTATCACCCACAGCCTGCAGCAGCAGCAGCAGCAGCAGCAACAGCGGCTTTGTTTGTGGGGCCGACGATTTCCTGTGTCTCCCCGAGCGTCTGGGAGCCATCAACCTGCAGCAGCAGCAGCCCCAGAAGCAGCGTCAGCAGCAGCATGCGCAACAGCAGGAGCAACAGCAGCAGCAGCAGCAGCAGCCGCTGCTGCTGCAGCAAAGTTTTGCTCCGCCGGCTTCTTCTGTCCTCATCGGCCCTCAAGGTGCGCTGCCCGTGGGCTCATATTACTTGACAGGCAAAGACCAGCAGCAGCAGCAGGAGCAGCAGCTGCTGCAACTGCAGCAGCAGGAGCAGCAGCTGCTGCAACTGCAGCAGCAGCAACAGCAGCAGCAGCAGAACCCGAGCCTTACATACACTGAACAGCAGCAGGTGCTGTTGCAGCAGCAACAGCAATTGCAGTACCAACAGCTGCAGCAGCAACAATTGCAGCATCAACTCCAGCTGCAGATGCAGCAGCAACAGATGCAGCAACACCACCTCCCGTTGCCCGAGCAGCAGCAGCTGCAGCAACAACTTCTCCTGACGCAGCATCAAGAGCTGCAGGAACTGCAGCAGCAGCAACAGCAACAGCAGCAGCAGCTCAGCGATAGCAGCAAACGATTCTGTGGCTGGGATGTGACAGCAGATGCCGCGACGGACAGCAAGTACGCGCTGCCAGCTGCTGCATGCGCAGCAGCAGCACCAGCAGTAGCAGCAGCAGCAGCAGACCCAGCAGCAGCAGCAGCACCAGCAGCAGCAGCAGCACGGACGCCAGCAGCAGCAGCAGGACAGAGAGGGAAACGAACTCTTGAAAGAGAAGCTGGCAGCAAACGCTTCCTGCGGCGTGCTGCAGTGCTGCCGCTGGCCACCCCACAGCCTTTTCATTTTGCTGCTAAGAAGACACGGGAGAAAGAAGTCAGCTATTACGGCTTGAGGCAGAGGTCTGCTGCTGCTGCTGCTGCTTCTGCTGCTTC